TATATTCTTATGCTGCATTTTATTCTTTTATTGTGTTTTATTATTTTTACGTATGTTCAGCACTGTTTTCAGCTGTAGCTGTTTTAAACGCTATACAAATAAAAATGATGATGATGAATAGTGAGCAAGGACTTTTTTTTGTATATTCCTCGAAATTACTATAATCTCCCCTTGTATTTGGTATACTTTGATCAAACACTGGGTAACTTGGGTAACCTTCCACAAGTCTCTCATAATATCCAGTTTAGGGATAAAACCTAAAATCTGGCTTCCTGAGTAGTCTTTGAAGCAACAGCTTCTCTGAGTATGAATTCAGTTCATCTAGGCATTGAACGGCATTATTTAGCCAGCAGAAATAATCTCCCAAAAAAAAAAAAAAAAAAAAAGGCTTGTATACATTGTATTTTAAGACTTCCATGCATCTGGTTGTACAAAGAAGTATTTAAATAAAGAAGCATCTGTTTCTAGCCATCTACCTCATAATTATGCACTACTTTGCGTAGATGTAAGCACATTTAATTCACACTGCATTGCTTTGTTTAAGGGGACTCAATCAATTAAAGTTAATTGTATTATTTATAAACGCTGCAAAAGGTTCAGCTGCAGTGTGTTGAAATTAAAGCTTAAAAAAAAAGTCTTTTGAAATGTGTTTACACTAACTGCCATAATTAATGTTGTGCAAACAGTTGCAGTCAATGCAGCATTGTTTTCTCGGGCCCATGTGGTATCTGTGTGTTTTGGGCTCGGTCTATAATTAGAAGGTTATAGAGTGAAAAAACATGCTGAGGAGGGTCTGTGTTGCTGCAGCTACATTCCCATCGAAAATCTGGTTGTGGCCTGAAAGACAAGTTTACAAACAAAAGTACAGCGGATATAAGTTGGATGTAACATATTGATTTAGTTTACTTCCCCTTCATAAAAAAATTAAACAAGGTGATTTCATCTGAATCCAGGCACAGCCTTGGTTTAAGCTGACTATTAATGTCCTTTTTTTTTTTTTAGGATTTGCTGATGTATTCTTCTATGCACAACTCATCCTTCAGCCTTTCAACATTCTTTACACACTGGAGTGGGACACATAATACACGTTTTATTCTTCACATTTCTGTATATTTCATTGCAACCTTTCAATGAACAACGACGAAGATATAGAATTTTAATACAATATAAAGACTTCAGTGTGCAGCTTATAGAACTATCCGAACCACTGCCAACAAAAGCAAGTCCATCCCTATGAAGTTGAGTGCTTGTGGTCAGCATCATATACAGAGGTTGGTTTTTTGATAAATAAACATGAGTGCTGTTGGCATTGCTGCAAAGGTTGAAGAGTTGGAAACAGTCAGTGTTCAGATCATATGCCGCACACTGCATCAAACTGGGGTCATTAAAGCTGCTGTCCTAGACGGAAAACTGCAAATAGTTTGCAGAAGACAAATAGAATAAAGACACGAATAACTAGAACCATGATCTGATGTCTGATCAGACCAAGATAAACTTAGCTGGTTCAGATGGAGTTAAATATTAGTGACTGCAATTGGGCGTTACTTGTTAAGTAAGGTAGGGGCAGTGTCATGGTTTGGGCAGCATATGTGCTGCTGGCTGTAAGAGCTATAGCTAAAGAGGAACCATGAAATGTTTCACACTAAAGCAGTTTACACACAGAGCAGTTTTCCCAACATAACCACACAAAACACAACTGCAAGGTGACCACGGCCTTGCAAAAGTCCTTCACTGGCCGACTGTGTCTCCAAACCTAAACCCTGTTGAGCATGTGTGGGGCTTTCTCAATAAAGTTGGAGGAGTGCTGGGTCTCCAACATCTGCTAGCTCCATGACGTTTTCATGTTAAAGTGGAAGAGGATTCCAGTGGCAAAATTAAGAATTCAAGTAAACCATGAGAGGTAAGGTGGCACCTGGAAAACAATGACACTGACACTTTGGACACAACTGGAGGGCAAATTTACAGTTAAAACTATTTGTAAAGTGGCCACTTTATAATGCATAATCGTTTCATATCCAGTCGTTGCCCCATGAAAGGTCATGGTAAATTATTTTTCAAAAATATGAGGCGAACAGTAAGTTTGGAGAGTTAATGTTTTTAGTGTGGGTGCATGTAGCTAAATATGTATCATTTAAATTAACCAATAATACTTTTGAGCAATAAGAATCCTTACACACAAACATATATATATATATATATATATATATACAAATATTGACCTTATTTTCTTTTTTTTCTTCTAAGCAACAAAAATGGGATATTGGTCACTTCTTTGAGGTTAGTTGGATAGAGCCAAGTTCAGAGAATAGGTGAGCTAATTTTGGTCTTCCATATTCGATTTGCAATTTCCTGCAAAAGCAAAACAAAAGCAAAAATGTAAATAAAAGAAACTACTTTGTGTTTTTACTAATATATTCTATTAACATTTTTTTTCAGCAGGAATCTTGCCATGAATGAAAAGCATGGATAAAACATCTGTGCTGCAAAAACACCAGATCAACAGTTATTTGTTTCCTCATGCTATTTATAAATCATAATTCCAGTAAAAATGTAAAACACTAAATATTACATTGAAATTATCATCTAACAATGTTAACTTAATTATTCATCCATGTTAGAATCTGACTGAAACCGGCTCTTTTGCACTTTTCGAGGTGGTCTCTTGCAGCATGTATTATTTGCAGGCTTGCCACAATTCTGCCATCAGTTACTCTGGGGTGTAACAGAGCTGGCACAGCTTCAATACAGCCCTGTAGTCCCGATGTCTTGATATCTAAGAGCATCAGTTGCTTATTGTCAGAAGATCTATTTATAAATACAATAATTCAGGCCGTGACGTTTCTATCGAAAGTAATGTTTCAAAAAAAAGTCGTGAAAAACAGCAATACCTAAACGAGGGCAGACATTTTTTAAGCAGATGACACAAAAACCAAAAGTGGATATTTAAGAACTGGTGCAGTGCATTTTAGTGTGTGAGGAAGAGCAGGAGGACCCCCTGCTGAGCCTGCTCATGCAATATCATCTCAAAGCTCCACAGCAGGCGCCGAGCAGCCCATACCAGGGTGTCGAGCTTTGATTCTGCCAAGAGCATGTTCGCTTTTTAATAAGAGGGCAGCTCGACTTATTTCTCTGCAGAGCAGAAAACTCCAGAGACACATCCACGAATAGAAATAACCACACACGCACAAAAAAGATTCCCACCAAATGAAAGGTTTTCACCATTTATTTAAAACTGATTGTCAGAAGAAAAATACACAAAATTTGTGCTTTGTGAGGCTAAGTGAAGAGATCCAGTTGGATTTTATGTAATATGGATATATTTACACAAACACACATATATCACATATGTACAAGAGGAGAAATCAATCATCAAAGCATGAGTCCAAATGTCTAGAGGCAGTTTTCATACCTTGAATCAGATATTTTTTCTTATGAAGTTATACACCCACTAACTTCACTATGACAATATATCGACCGGGTGCTTCAGTATTATTGCATCAAACTATGTTTAGTTTTTTTTAGTTTTTCAGGCACAGAGAAGAGCCTGTATTCAAGCATGCCAGTGAACTGTGAATAAGTGCCAATTGCAATATTGTGAAGCTTGCAAAATGTTTACTATGAATTATGTGATGTTAATTTGACACCTTGGAAGGGTTTGATCAAGAAAAAAAATATATCTACACAGTAGAATACTGCCACCCAGTGGAGGAATAAACACTGACGCCTTTAAATGCTGTGATAAAGTGCTGTTTTTACCCTCTGATCAAATATCTTCTGACTATATCACCGATGGCAGAGGCTCCAGTTGATCTCCATTTGCTGGCAGTCATAAAATTGTGATTTTTTTTCACCTTTCATGTATGTGCAACAAAAGTGAGTTGGAGCAAAACAATTTGGCTACCAACAACGATAAAAAGCAATCTGAGTGAAAGATGTTTAATTCACATTAAGCTTAAGGCACATTAAATACTCTGTGGTATCAATAAAGAGTGCTATATGTGAGGCAATGCCAATGATCCAACTATTCCTTCCTGTAGCAATTCAACAAACCAACCAGAAGCTTCTACTTTATATAAACAGAAGCATTTTAAACGCAGGCAGTGATAAGTTATCAGGTGATGGATGAGACCCACCAGCAATAACTGGAAATGCAGCCAGATAGAAACTTGGAGTAAAAAGAAAAACTCCTAGGAATTCATGAAATAGTAAAATCAGCAAAGTGAAAAAAAAAAACATGTAAAATTCTTCTATAAATTATCACCCTTAAAAACAACCTTATTTTCACCCAATTACAATTTACAATCCCAGTCATTACATTCAAAGCTCCACTCAAGATGTTCTAGTCGATCAACTACTGTGATTTATTTATTTTTTTTACTTCTACGTGGTTTCCATGGTGTCGAAGCTGTGGTGTGCTAATGGGCTTTTCCAGCTGGAACCTCGTACTTGAAGACCACGCTGAAGAGCTTTCCTCCCAGTCGGTCCGCTAACCACGAGTTCTTGATGACGGCCATCTTGAGGCTCTCGCAGCTGAGCATGGCATAGTAGTTGGTGTGGATGGCTCGGCCCATTCCCTCGATGATCACCAGGTCGGTCTGCCGCTCCCTCACCACCATTGCCAGGACCTTGTCCAAACGACTGGAAAAACACATTTTTCATTTTTTTATACAGTGGAATCAGCTTATAGTGGTCATGGATAAAGTAATCAACCGCTTTTGTCCCAAAAGGCTTGGGACAGAATCATGTGCTTTTTAAATAATTTGTTTATAGTAATCAAGAAATCCACTTATAGTGTTAACTTTTGGCCGTTTTATGAATGTAAACATGTGCAGAAATAATTCTAAAATTACGTGTACATCTGAGAGGTACGAGAGCGCTTTGGTGCGGGTACCAGTGCTGTGCGCAGCGAGGAGATGGAGGAGGATGAAGATCAAGAAGAGGAGACTGTTTTCTCTTCCAGAGCCGATATGAGGAAAGCAGGTAGCATTTTAAAGACTGGTCTCCTGCATGTTGGTTTCAAAAACTTTGACCTTTTACATTGTTTTGAAAAAGAAGTGAACTCTGTGTTGAACAACTCTCTGATCCAGGGAACCTTGGATAAATATGTAAAGTGATTTCTTAATGCGGCGCAGCAGAAGGAAGGCTAGCTTTAATTTTCTGTAGCCTATGCAGTTATCTTCTATGTTGTTGTTCCAGGAAACAGTGTTTCAAACTTAATTTTCCGACTTGTTAAAAAGATGCACAGGCGGCACAGCAGAGCTGACACACAGCACATAATAAGTTACGTAGGCTACCAGAGTTATGTCTGCGCACAGCGCAGTATACTGTTATTAAACTTGCATGGTACTGTAATAAAATTCAGTAAATGCGGAATCTATCCATTTCATTTCATTTTTCTGATTGAAAAACCATACAAATGGTATGTAGATAATATTCTGCATAAAAATAAGTAAAATAACGGTAAATACGATTTTAGTAATCAACAGCTTATAGTGTTCAAATTGGCTCTGGTCCAACATGATCACTATGAGCAGATTCCACTGTATTTCTTTGGTGTTAATGTATTAATTTTTTCGCTCTTAACTGGAAATTTGGAAGCATAAACCACCCACCTCAGATCCAAACAGGGGGAACTGGAGCCACTCTGGACTAATGTCAACCTATCCTCCCTCAAGGCAGATCTACACAGCAAAACCCAAAAAGGGAATAAATGAATAAACATAACTTTTGATACAATTTAGCGCCATAAAGAAAACAATTAGTGCCTCGAAACTTAATAGATTAAATTTTAAAATTACTCTTACTTAATAACAGGATCCATAGCAGCGATTCTTTCTGTCAGAATCTGGAGTTCACTGTTTGTTACATCATTTAAAGCAGGACCAGAATTGCTGGCCAACACAACCTAAATGTAAAAAGCAAAACATTAATGTCAGGAAACATTTTATAAAATGTAAAATTCCTGTTGAAGCGTCTTAATTTCCTCACTTCTGTTCCTCGGGAAAGAAGTTCTCTGACAAAGGGCATCACCCCTAAAATGATGTCTACTCCACTATTATCTACGAAAAACAAGGCACACCTATGAGGAGGACCCTGCAACAGAGAACCAGGATAAACTGCACTGAGGGATTCATCATAAAGCATGTGGAACACAAGAAGAAATGTTATTATATGTTATGATATTTGCTGGGTTTCTAGAATGTTAAGCTCAAATAAACTATGTCTTAAATGACGGGCGGTTAAAAAAAATTCATACCTTTAGTCTCTCAAGCCACTGGTCAAAGGAATCAACGAGCCATGGCCGCTCTAAGGAGTGGGAGGAGAAAAAAATTAGGAGCAAATAACATTTTTGTTGAGGTATTTCTTCTGCAATTTGTTAAAAGAAAAAAAAGAATATGCCAAAAATAAAAATCTAATAAGACATTCATAGTGGAAAGATATAAACACATTCAGAGGGACATAAGAATTATCTTGAAAACTCTCTATGTCAGGTAAATATACCGTAATTTCCGGACTATAGAGGGCGCCTCACTATAAGCTGCGCCCACTGTTTAATAAACAAAAACTTGAAATCTATATAAAAGCTGCACCAGGCAATAAGCCGCTGCCACCCACCAAACCTGTAGGGCGAGGTCTATAGATCACCTCCAGAATAGGTACAAAGAGGAATACTAGCTTCCATTAGCTTGTCGGTTTGTGGCAATAAGAGCTTCTACTGAAAGATAGGGCTTTGTCAGTTTTTTATTTCAGCTCTGCAGGAGTTGAGCCCAGTCTCTTAATTGGTTCGACAGCTTTAATGTGGCAAATAAAAGTCAAAATGAGGGAATTCAGGACATTTGTTCTCCGTTGTGCCTGCTGCTTACATCTGATGTGCTAAATGAAAATTAGCCCCTTCTTCTTTGATTCTCAGCTTTGACTTACACCCCCAATAGTAGCTGCCTATGTTTCAGAAAATACGGTAGGATTTAGTTTGGATATTTGTGTCATGAAAGATTAACTTTGTCTTGCAAAGTATTAGTTCCCATCCTCCCCCGTATTTATTCACCTTTTGTAAACAAAATGTGATTTATATTTTTTGGGCCTCTTTGTGACAGAACCTTTTTAAGTCACCCATTTCAACCTTTAAATAAAAAAACAGAGCAATCCACTGCCTTAAAGTCCTCAAATGTTTGTTAAAAAACAAAAACAGCATCATTAAAATCAAGACACCCAGTCAGCAAGTTTGGGATAAAATGTTTGAGAGGTTTAAAACATGACTAAGGAATTAAAATTTGTAACTTTCCAGGTTAAAGAGGGATTATGGCAGATCTGAAAACCTATCAATACACCAGTTTACTACAAAATTTGAAGGAAACAACACATGTCTTCATTTCACAAGATGAGTTGGCCTACATTGAAATTTTTATTTAAATACACCTATAAGTTTGTGGATGTTGCATTCCGGAAGTGGTAATATGTTTGCAAGGTGCTGTGGCAAACTGAACACTACGTTATGTCATTTTTGCCTTTGCTTGTTTGACTTAAAATTGCACCAATTAATGTCTACTTCAGGTAGAAGATCATCATCATCATCATCATCCAGGCTGAGTTTTCAATGTATCCAAATACATGTTGTAAAAACTGATTATTTGCATGTTGAATATCTTGAGGATTTAGAGCAGAATGTTGCAGCTGTAGCTCTGCCAACATGTTGTCCCTCTGGAGCACACAGATTCAAAAAGAAACAATCCGATACCTTCTAACCGTCGTTTAGCTTCTTCAAACCCAAATTCAGGGTTAGACTCCAGCACCCTGAATGAATGGAAATAAAGTATGAGAAAAACAGGTGTAATGTGAACATAAGCAGGATTTCAGCATCACACTAAGTGAAAAATTGGAAAAGTTTAAACCAAATGAAAAAAGATCAGGACTGAAGTGTTTTCCAGGTGGAAAAATTTTGGATTTTAAAACTAAACTAACTAATAAACAAAGCAATACCCAACTGACCTTGAAGTCCAATTAACTTTTTGCCATTTATAAAATAAAAACTGAATATTCAGAGCTCTAGATTGTTATTGTAAAATAATCTGTATCCATTTTTAATGAACTGCAAACATATCTTTAAGCAGTTTAAAATCTACAGATTTTTAGATCCAATTAAACAGTGAAAGTCATTTGAAAACCCACAAACAATGCCACACAAATAAAACTAATTTACCAATCCCTAGTAATACATTAAAAATACAACATTCAAAAAAGTTTTCATTTTAGAATTTCACTTGGGGAATAACAGCTCTAATGAATTTGTAAAAGCAAGAGGTTCAATGTGTGCAGTTGGGGTGTTAGTTGGACAAAACATAAAGTCTTTGATCCCACTGCAGGATTCTCAATCTTATTGGTAGTGGTAATAAAAAAAAAACTAATTTACCTTAAATCTTCTTTTAAAAAACTGTAAACATTGAGAATTGGTGTAGAGTGTTCCTAGGTTGCGTCAGGCACTACGCCACTATTCCTAATTCTGGCTGAAGACCCAATCAGCAGACATAAACATTGTTGTACACTGTTGACCTCTACTGGTAGGTCTTATAAGTGCATCTATCAGTTTACGCAGCTTTAGGTCCTGCTCCAGTGAATGCTAATGTTCACATTGTGTTCTACTAGTGTCTTTTACACTGAGGAATATAATATTCTTTGGGTTTTTTTTTTTTTACACTTGATCTTGGAATTTTCCCTCTTTCCACACTCCCACTAAAGAAATTACTAAGTTTTTAACTCAATGAACATATGATCAACATTCTGGATCAACTTAAGCTTCCAAATAAATGGTAAATAATAATATATAGCTGACACGAGGGCAGCATAGTTTAATTAAAAAAAGCTTTTATTTACAACCAGAGTGAGCTACTGGTACTGAAGATGGTAAAGTCCTAGTATGTGATTTGGCCAGTTAAAAACAACGGTCACAGAATCTGTTTAAGAAGCTTACTCACTCTGACACGGCCTTGGCTCCCCAGTCAAAAACATTCCCAGCCAAAACGCCCTTCACTATCGCAAACTGTCTGTCCTCCCAGCTCAGCTCGTCCAAGGACTTCACTGCTTTCTGATAGTACTTGAGAGCGACGTCGTTCTCCCTCTCTTTAATCTAAAGCAGAATAAAACATAATATTACAGCTCGAACCAAGCAAACAATGCCCTTAATAGGGGACATTTAAAAATTCAAGGACTGGATTAGACTAAAACAGTGTTTTGTTTGATTTTAATATATGGAAATCGTTTGAGGCACTGTGAGGTTTTCAAAGACAAAACTATGTGACAGAATGGATAATTGAGGGCCGAATTAGTGTAGAGCACAAACATAACAAGGAGAACAACAGATTTGACAGATTTCACTCAGACCTTAGAGTAGGGATCAGGAAAGTTGAACTCGTTTAAACAGTGTTCCCTCGTGTCTAACAGACTTCTGACAGTGAGGGATCCATAAGCACTAGGTGAGAAGAGAAGCACTCTACATTAGCCAAAGAGAAACAGACAAAAGCACTGCGAAAGAAGAAGTTTCTTACAGATTTTTCTAGGTTGTGACAAACTAAATTAACTACATTAAAAGTAATTGAAACATTGAAATTAAATTAAAAAAAAGAACTCAGTCGATACTAATGCACACAGAAATTATATATAGAATTAACATTTTCTTTGAAATGAGGAAGTGGATATAGGCAGGTCCAGCAGGTATGAATAGATGGAGCTAATGTGGACAATAAAGAGAAGATTTTATTTTTTTTTTACTTTGGACTAAAAAGCAAACTCTGGGTAAAACTGAAGCAGACACACAAAAAAAGCAAGAATCCTCACAATGGCTGATGACGGAGAGTCTGAAGCTTGTGTCGATACTTCTGACGAAACTTCTCGGCTCGCTCGGCTGCCTCCGGGATGTCTGGCTGGCTCGCTACAGCTCTCTTTACAACCTGCTCCAAGACAGAAAAACCCTGTTCACAGCCTGGTAACACCACCCGACTGGGAAAAACACTGCCACATCCACACACAGTGTGACAAAAAAACATACAAAAAACACTCTTAGCCATTGCAGTTTTAATGTATCAGAGTATCATAATCATCTGAGGTTTACCAGATTCTTACCTCAGGTTTATATAAAAAAACAAAAAAAAAGTATTCCATACAGATTTGTTACGCATTACACAAATATAAAGTAAAAATGAAGTCTACATAAAAAATATGAAAAAACCCCATTAATTATTACATTATAACTACCTTCTTGCAAATGACTTAATCTGTGTGCAGCTTTAGAGTGCTACAAAAGAACATTTTAATTAACCAGTCTGGACCATGATTGGACCACTGCAACACTTTTAATTCTTAGCCATTTTTTTAACTTCAAGGCACCCACCTCTGTTAAATGCACAACAAGCCTAAATCATCACTCTTTCACGTCCATATCTAACAACTAGTATGATCTGAAGTGTTATATTAAGTTTAGCAGTGTGCACAATGGCCAGATATCAATGCTTTCAAGCCATTCACTTTCAGCCTTTTTTAAATGCCCTGTTATAAACATCATCCATTAACACACACTGTGAACTTTAGTGTGCCTTGTACATCTTTAGTTTTTTTGGGAACTTGTGCATGGCAGTTTGGCCTTGGGCTGTTTTTGTTGGAAGGTCAACACCTAGCATGAAACACAGACAAGCTACAGCATGTTTCAAAAAGCAGTGCATGATCAACAAATCCTGTAGAGTTAGCAGAGCTTTAATAAGCATCCTGAAACATATAAGCTGTCAAATATTCTATGTTAAATGAGTAAAATATCTTTAAAAGCATTTAATGACTGAGTTACTCGTTCTCCTCTCTCTCTTTCTTGTTTATGCTTTCTTTAATTACAGATCCCCTCTATGGCCAAATTGGTCAGTGCATGAAAAGCAAATGTCAGAAAGGATGGCTGGGTTTAAACTCTGTGTTTGCAAACAATATTATACAACTGTTACTATGATATTTAATGGTAATATCAACTAAGTTTTCTCCAAATACAAACTAAATTAAGAGACTAAATTAAGAGACATAGTTTAGAGACTAAACTATGACATAAAACTAACAGGGTAGTATATTTTAAATGTATTGTGAAAGCAAAAATATTCAATCAACCTTGAGTAAAGAGAAGATGCAGCAAAGGAAAACAGGGTTACTTTAAGACTATAAAAAACAAGGATCCTGTGCTCTGTAAAATCTGTACAAATCTGTAAAAAATACATTTAAATGATTTTTTATTTAAAAAAATTTTGAATTATATTTAGTCATCTTACTCCATCTAAGGCTTCTTCAAAGCAGTATAACCAGTATTCCCGGGCCTGGGCGTCCTCTGTGAGGTCGACGGTGTCTGGGATGTAGGAGGAGGCATCTTGGAGTAGAGGCAGGTTCACCAGCTGCCTCTCTAGACGGTCCATCTCCAACATGTCAAACTAAAAATATTAAAGTCAATGAAATGAACACAGAGGCACAGGTTTTGGGTTGACAAACAAACAAAAAGTTTTTGGATACTACCGGTACATACAGTTTTTAAATTGCATATTTAAAACATTGTTATGCTTCACGAAAAACTATTCCAGAAATATCCTTCTCTTACTTCCTGCTTTTTTGCAACACTGACAGTTTTTGATTATGTCAATTTTCCTCAAATACAATAGAAAGTTTAGAGCAAAAAGTTAAGCAGATGCACAACAGAAAGGTAAACCAGGATTTAATCCTAAAAGCCACCAAAACAAGACAATCAAAGGTATATTATTGAAGAAAAGCTCCAATCCAAATAGTGACTTCTACTGTGCCTTCAATAAACATTCAAGAAAATGATTTCCCATTTTGACATAAATGTCTGTCTAATGGTGCTTTACTTGATTGTTTAAAAAAAAGTAGAGCATCATTTCAAAGAGGAAGTAAAGATAAACTTTTTTGGATTTTTGCTCTTTACAAACTGGTCAATTTTGACCTTGGCTGCATCACATGTAGATATTGTATAAAAAATAAATAAATAAATAAATTAAGGGCAAAATAGCCACACATTTCCAATTATTTTCAAGGCTTTTCTAAAAGATGCATTTTTTTCACCTCACTTAACGATTACTATTTTGTGTTGCTCAGGCCATAAAATATTAATTAATAAAAATAAATAAATCTATTTTTTTAATCATACTGGAAAATGCACAACAGTCTAAGTGGTTTGGAAACTTTGCTGGTACAGATAGCAAAAACAAATAATATAATATATTTAATCTGTGATAGATTTTTTGATCCACATTGTGATAAATAATAAATAAATAAATAAAAAAAACACTCCTGAGGCAGCTGGTAGTGAAGGTGTAGTTTAGTACCGAATCCTTCGACTGAAAGCATCAAATCAAGTGAGTTATTATTTAAAACTGGAAACCACAAACAGAAACCGCCTTGAATTATTTGATCAGAGAAAATGTTGCTTAGTAACAGGTCAGAAGCGGGTGATTAAGAGCTAAGCTGCTTTAGATCCAGCGTAGCCAACAAGTTTTGAGCTATGCAACAAGACGCACAGGCAGGGTATCATGAAAGGAAGGAAGGAAGAAAAGAACACGCATCAAGCAAGTGGAGATACTTACAGAAAACTGAAGGAGAGTAAGGTAGACAGAAGAACATGTGGAAATGAAATGAATGATTGTCAGACTAGAAATATTAATTTTTATGATTATAGTGACAGTGAATCAATAAATGATTTTTCTAAAGTTGCAGAAATTAATAATAATAATAATAATAATAATAAAGTTATGGAAAGAAAATGGGTCATGAGATTCTATGTGCCTCTGATAAATAGGTGAGCATCACTTCCCAATATGAGATAACTTACTGTTCCGCTGCGAGCTCGCTGCATTGGGTTCATGTCAGGAGAGACACTCATCAAACCAGAGCTTCCTGCATAATTTTCACCCCAACTGTACTGATTTGGATCTAAAGAAGAAAAAAACTTAAAGCTAATTTCTGGAAGGAGGATGTTTTGTTTTTTAACATTAAATATTCAAATCAAATACAAATTATAGGAATATTCGTCATGCATAAGCAAGTCATTGAGACCATGATACAGTGGAATCCACTTATAGTGGTCACAGATAAAGTAATCAACCGCTTATATATATTTAAAGGCTTGGGACAGAATCATTTCTATGCAAATGCTCTTTAAATTGTTTATAGTAATCAAGAAATCCGCTTATAGTGTTCATTTTTGGCCATTTTATGAATTTAAACATGTGCAAAAATAATGTTTAAAATTACATGTACATCTAATAGGTACAAGAGCGCTTAGGTGCGGGTACCAGTGCTGCACGCAGCGAGGAGGGGGAGGATGAAGAAAAGGAGACTGTTTTCTCTTCCAGAGCTGATATGAGGAATGCAGTTTGCATTTTAAAGACTGGTCTCCTGCATGTTGGTTATAAAAAACTTTGACCTTTTACATCGTTTTGAAAGAGAAGTGAACTCTGTGTTGGACAACACTCTGATCCAGGGAACCATGGATAAATATGTTAAGTGATTTCATAATGCGGCGCAGCAGATCCACAACACAAAACAGAGGAAGGCTAGCTTTAATTTTCTGTAGCCTATGCAGTTATCTTCTATGTTGTTGTTCCAGGAAACAGTTTGTTTCAAACTTTATTTTCAGACATGTTCAAAAAAAAATCACCTGCGGCACAGCAGAGCCGACGCACAGAATAAGTTACATAGGCCTACTGTAAGCTATCAGAGTTGTGTCTGCACACTGCAGATTTCTGTGCTGTGATTATGCATTTGTTTCTATCTTTATTTTTAGACTTGTTAAAAAGATGCACCAGCGGCACAGCAGAGCAGACGCACAGCACATAAGTTACGTACCAGAGTTATGTCTGCGCACACCGCAGTATACTTTAATTAAACTTGCATAGTACTATAATAAAATTCAGTAAATGCGGAAGCTATCCGTTTCATTTCCTTTTTTGTTATTGAAAAACCATACAAATGGTATTTAGATGATATTCTTTATAAAAAAATAAGTAAAATAAATTCGGTTTTAGTAATCAGCCTCTTATAGTTTTCAAATTGGCTCTGGTCCAACGTGACCACTATAAGCGGATTCCATTGTAACATAATTATGCATTACGCTAATGAAAAGATTTCTGATCAACACAAACATGTCAAATCGCTAATCCTTGTATTCAGTTTAATTAAATCAAAGCACATCACCCACAGGTTTGACAATGACACGGACGGTTCAGTCATTTCAGCCCTGAGGCCCTCTCTCTCTAAAGCAATGCTTCAAACTGATAATTGAAAGTTGGTGCAGCAGCATTAGCAGCTTGTCCACTGATAAAAGTAATAAATTAGTAAATCCCTGAAACCCCCAAAATCCTGTGCAGGAATTAAAATTAAAAGTTACCACTTAGCTCTGTTTGCATTGTCTGCTTTTAGGAGAATGTAAACCAGATGAATTAGTCCTTACTGTCTTCTTCTGCTCCTTTGAGAAAAGCTCCGATGGCTCCAAGGTATCCTTCATGTCTAAGAAACAGAGCCTGAACTTCACCCTACAATAACAGAACGTGAGGGGGGCAACATATAAGCAGCATGTACCAAGGATGACAGATGGTATGATAACCATAAATCCAAAAAACCAAAACATGCAGAGATCACATTGCAGATACTAAGAGCTTGCCTTGGTAAAGAAATTGATGCTATAAGTTATTGTGTGCATGGTGACAGGGTGCCCTCTGATGAAGAAGCCTCCAAAGTACACTCGGGATAGGTTGTGCAGTTTGGCGTACAGACAGGCCAGCTGTCCGATGTCGTTGCTGATCATATGGAGTAAACTCTTGGCCATGTCTTCTTTAGAGAACTCTAAAATACAAAAAAAAGATATATACATTAAAAAAACTGTCCTTTAAAACCTTTGTTTCTGAACAGTTTGTTCTGTTACATCTGCCTTTCCATTACTATTCCCAAGCAAACCTCTGGGGCTTTTAGAGTAAGTTAGCATTTTATGTAGATTACTACCTGTGTATTTTATTGTTTGCACTAATTTTTAATGTTGTTGTTTTTATTATGTTGGCATTTTAAACCTTGCCCAGGGACTACAGTTGAAAATTAGCTACTTAGCTAACACTGGCTCATTTACAGAAATGTTTATTAATGTGCACTGTCCCTGTTCAAATAAACACATAAATAAATAAATGTTGTTTTTAATCGAATTATCAACGTTATTCAACGTAATCCGTGTTCCTGGTTCTAGCTCCTTCCTAACAGCTAGCACTGTTTGGATAGATAGCGCTTATAACGGTGGCCTCTCTTCCACCATAGCTGAGATCTCCATACTGATTTGAGGTATTGGGTAAGCAGAACTCTCTGCAGAACTTGTATTTGGTTTGATGGTTTTAAGCCTGAATGTCCTCAGAGAACCAACACCTGTGATGCTATTTGTGCTTCAGATTTACGGGTGTACAAGATATAGACCCGCTTGGGAATTTATTATGTAAACAAGAAGATGCATCTTTTTAATGCATTAAAATGTTTCTAATTAATTCATCATAATTAACACAAAAAAGTACAAGCCCTATTATTAATTACTTTGTTAGTCTGCAGGGTTGGGACACACCAGCACCTATTTTATTTTGTCAGAGATAATGACTTTATTTCAACATAATAAATAAATAAATAAATAAATAAATAAATAAATAAATAAATAAATAAATAAATATATATATATATATATATATATATAATGTTTATATATATATATATATATATATATATATATTATTTTTTATTTTGAAACAATTAGTGCTCTAAGTGGGTTGCTAAATTACAAAATTATTTCAATAATCGATTAATCACGATTACTCTGATTAGTTGTTTCAGCCCTTTTCAAAGCTTTCAAAACAACCTGCCACTATGTAAGTAAGTAAAACTCTCATTGCAATTTAAATTATACATTAAATGTCATCAAATTTATTTATTTTTTTTATTTCTTTACTTTTTCAAAGAATTATACCTAAAATCCCGATCAGGAAATAATTTAAGTGTTAGAATGTTAAAAGGATATGCCTTGTATCGTCTATAAGTGATCATCATTTTGGGTGTTTTCAGACGGCAGATAAATGTGCAACAAAAGCAGCAATGAGCCAACAGCAACATTAACTCCTAATGCAATGTCAGCACATGATGAAAGGCTAATCATTTCCATTCTTCTTTATGAATTGGTCAATCCTATCAAAATGAAAACAGACAGGAATGTGCTTATGTGAAATAATTGGGTGTATTTAAACCAATATACACCAAAATGAGCTGGAAGGTTGTAGTTCTTGAAAGTTGATCTTTTAATTTCCAACTGATCTTCACTTAAGGAGGTCAAAATTACTTTAATTGGCTATATTTGAAAACAAAAACTGACATCTGTTCTTGTATGATGACAAATACATAACCCCGCACCGATTAGGAAAGCGTTAATTTGGATTTAAAGGCACTTTTAAAGCTGGTATTTAATTTTGCTATATCAATGAGATGAAGATCCAAAAAACGTTTTTTAAAAAGGCATTTTCTCAAAACATAATTCAACAGGATGTCTCTCTGTTTCATCACCTTTATCAGCTGTTGCAGATTTCCCAAAACTACTTGCAATAAGATCTCCAGTCAAACCCAAGCATGCATACGACCCTCCGTAAATGTCTTTAACGAGCATATCCACGCTGGAGTGCTGTCCTTTAGAGGCCAGCTGTAGTAACTCATCGAACCTCTGCAAAGGGAAAAAGAGATGCAGTTTAGGAGGAAACGGCCGGATGCTTTGATATGCCAACAAAATGTATTCATCAAGGCGGCAGCAAAAGAGGGTGACTTAATCAAAGGTACCTTTGTTTTGGTAAGCAATGCTCCAAGACCCCAGAATGTTCCTCCACCTATTGAACTTCCACCTATTCGCTCAAATTTATCCTCAGACTCAACCTGCAAAAAATACAAAGTGAAAGTTCTCAGGTCCCCATTTTGTGCCTTACCTACCTTATAATCCTTCTACAATTACATTATACTGCTTTACAATAAGGTGTGAACACTGATTGGGTCATAAATTAAAACTAAATCTCAACATACAGATTACAGGACACCATTACTGTTTTAACCTGAATGTTTGACACTACTGTTTTTTGACATCACTAATAAGGCTGAGCAACTAATCACATTTGCATTATGATTGCAATTTCACTAAATGCAGTTTTCAAATCGCAGAGGCACTCGATTTTTCTTACATTTAAGAGGCGTAAGACCCAGACTTTTCTCATTCCAGCACTTTATGTGGCATACTGGAAAAAATCTAAATCTACATAAGTCATTTTTTCTGAAAATAAGTGAAATTTTCTTGGGTTGAGGAGGTAAAACACACATTTTGCCAATGGAACAACACAATTTACACTTAAAATAAGAAAAAAACAATTGTGTTGTCTTATTTCAAGTGCATATTATGTAATTATTTTATTTTAAGGGTAAAAATGCTGATTCTATTGGCAAACTATCTCATTTACCTATTGAAAATATGGATAAATACACTTAATTTAAATAATTTTTACTTATGTCTAGATCGTCCTCCCAGTGCAGTATTATGCTCAAAGTGGGTTTGCCACCATACAGAATGAAAGAGAGAAATGCCGCATAGAAATAAGCACTTTTTACGCAACAGTAACAGCAATACAAAATACATGTAAAACAGGGAGTTGGCTTTCACTCTGAAACAAATCATTAGTTATTTAAAAGGAATCTCAGCTGTGTTTTAAAGGACCCAAACTAAAACAACCCTGTATTTCTAAGAACTCAAAGAAAATATAATGATATAAAAGTTTTTAATAGGAGAAATTAACAAATCTTGTATATCTGAATTCTTCCATTCGAGATATTTAAGGATATTTCCATTATATCCTATATTCCAAGTCAGACCAACAGAAAACTTTGAATCTCTGCTATTACCTTAACTATGGAAACCCCGGAGCCGATGTTCACAAGCAGGTAGGGGAAGATGTCAGGATTTGTGGTTTGAAAGCGGAACTCTGAGTCTGCGTGTCTGGCGTACACAAACGCCTCATGGGGGATGTTCTTCAGCACAAAATTACAGCCCTTGATGAGACAGGTCATTTCATCTTCTTTGTCCACTCTACCACAATGCAAGAAAGAAAGAAACAAAAAAAGAACTGTGTGAATCTCCCATGTACCGACAATTAATTAAAAACTGAAATGTATCATTTCATTTCTCTATTAATTTCCACCGTAAATCTGCTTTTTACAGCTCTGCTAAAAATAAATATTCAAAAAAACATTTGAGCTCTGTTGGCAGATTATATAAACAATTTCTCTCTGAATAGATAAATCAATGCAGTTCTTTTGAACTGGTATATGAAACTCTTTGGGGAAACTAGAACTTCTATGTAAGCAGTTCCCAGAATGGTCCGACTTCTCAAAAAAAAAAAAAAAGCTGCAGAGAACAGAACATTCTTTATAAAACCTCCATCTTTAAAATAAAAAGGAGGAAAACATTTACTTCAAACATTTATTTTGAAGGATTAGTGGTCTGAAAGCAGAATTCTGAGTCTGCGTATATTGATCCTGTCTGCATCAGTTTGTTGTTTATTACAATGTCGTCTCCTAGAATGAGCCTGAAATTAGCCTAATTTTCACTTTGTACATGAAGACTTTCAAGTTCAGTGTTACATGATTCTTAAATTATGAAATAGGGATGCAGACAATCAAATTAGGATTAATTTTCATTTGTTAGTACCGGTAGATTGAAAATATTCGGATTAATGGCTAATCCGCTGCCACCACTGATGGGTAATCTGGCATAAACCAGACTGATTGGTGTAGTTCAATCTGAATTCTGCACAGCATCAATCTTCTAAGGCTCCTGTAGAAAGTGATCATAAAAAGAAAGCAAATTCAGTACAAATCTTAGAACTGACTGCGTAAATCACCAAGTGACACTTGCCTTCCATGTTGAGCTTTTATGCAATCACAGCAGAAGTAGCAGCTAGGGCATATAACATTCTTACCAAACTAAGTCGGGAGGAATCCCCAAACATCTTTTCCATCCACAAAGGCAAACATTTCACAAAGAAATTATATATTAAAGCTAAAACCGGTGCAGCCACATTTGTTTTGCTTCAGCCTTCTGGCTCTGGTTGACGAGATGATGTCATACACGTCACTGCATTTTATTGGTCCGAAACATTTCTGTATTGAGGTCAAACGCATCTGTTGGCTCCTGGCAGGATGTATTTTCAGGAGTTTGTGAATTTAAAAAATCTGGCAACAATTCATCATGTTTGTATGATAAACTGATTGTTGGATTACACTGAATCCAAATACACAATATATATAGCACAGTCCCAATCCACTGAATTAAACAAAGTGGTAGTAAGGTCTGATTGTAGAGAGACAAATCTAGTTTTTAAATAATATCTTAACAGCTCTGGTCATGGGGATTCTACTTTTATCCATTGCATATTCTATCCAGATATCTAACAGGTGACCTTTTATTATACTATGTTTACATTTAAAAGGTATGAGAAAAAGTAAGAATTGCCCGATATCATGCATTGATTTTGCATATTTCCCCTTTAGTATCATTTTATACTTTTTTTTTAGGGATGAGTTCATTTCCTAGAAAGGAAATGTTAATGCTTTTTATGGCATTCAGTGTGCAAATAATACTTTTAAGGCACATGGATCAGAAAATTAGTCAAGCTGACTATTTCCAACCACAGGTTAAAGTAGGGGTGCAACTAATTATTATTTTTGCTAATCAATTAATCTGCCAATAGTTATTTTGATTGATTAATAATTGGATAGCTAAAGGTATAAGAATTCAGAATCCAAACCAGGCTGAACTAAAA